ACATGTGAGTTGGGCTGTCCTAAGTGAGATAAGAGAATGTTTGAATACCCAATTTTCATGTGTCTTCAAATCTTTAAATTTTAACTAGAATTTCAGTAAGATAGATCTCATGAAAATCTTTTACTTTCAAATTCATATATTTTTATTATGTTAACATCTACATCACACAATTGGAATGATCTGACCATTTTAACTACTTTTCCTTTATTTTTCATTAGTTATTTTGGAATTTCATACAATGAACTTTGACCGTATTCAGGCTTTCCCTCAACTCTTACCAGACCCAATTCCTTCCCAGATCCACCAACTTGGGGTTTTATTTTGTTTGTTTTTACCCATCAATTCCAGTTTATGTTGTCTATATTTACCAATGGGTGTGTAGCCTTCTGGAGCACGGTCAGTCTTCCAGGGACAACACTCCTAAAGAAAACTAGCTTTCCTGTTCCATCAGCGACCAATCACCAACTTCTTTCAGATTCTTCTCCCATCTCCATGCTGGGGTTTGGTCTGGCTTGAGATTGAATGGGGCTTGTTCATGCTGATATACCAGCTGTGAGTTCGTGTACAACTGTCCTGTTGTCTGGAGGTTACTGCTTCTGTGTGTTAACTCACTGCCTGTGTCTCTTACAGTCTTTCTGAAGAGGGTGTGTGGTATAGATCTTCATTTTGGGATGAGCATTCTTCAGTCTCTTACTCTTTGTACCTTTATCAGCTGTGGGTCTTTGTGCTAAGTACCGTCTACTGAAAAGAGGAGCTTCTTTGATGAAGTTTGACAAAAGCATTAGTTTAGGGTTATAATGGTAAGTCACCAGGAGTAAACTTAATGCTATGTACATTTAGCAGAATAATAGTAGGAAGTCCTCCCTAGAGTCTATGATCTGCCCAGCTTCTTGGCCCAACAATATAAGGAATGGGTTTCATCTTATGGAATAGGACTTAAATCCAATATGATAGTAGTTAGTTACTCCCATGATGTTTGAGCCACTATTGAACCAGTGGGCATGTCTTGCTAGGGCTGTCATTGTAGTTCACAGGGTTCACAGTTGTAATGTGTCTTTTTCTCCTACCAGCCAGCTCCCAAATAATGACACAGAGACTTATTAATTATGAAAGCTTGGTCTTAGACCACTAGCTCTTATAGCTTTAATTGACCCATTTATATTAATCTATGTTTTGCCTCAAGGCTTTTTACCTTTCTTTCAGTCTGTATGTCTGCCTCCCTCCATGTCTTGTTGGCATCTGACACACAACTAGATTTATCTCTACTGTTTCCTTTCTTTCTGCCCAGAAGTCTCGCCTATATCTCCTGCCTAGCTATTGGTTGTCCAGCTCTTTATTAAGCTAATCACAGTAATATATCTTTACACAGTTTACAAAATCCCACAACACGCAGTTGAATAAGATGGATGATTAATTTCCTCTTCTTGTATTATTTGTATAATTCAGTGGCAGTAAGTACATTCACATTGTATGGCACTATCATCACTATCCAAGTCTTGAACTTTTTCATCTTTCAAAAATGAAACTCTATATCCATTAAACAGTAACTTCCTATTCTCTTCTATATCCAGTTCCTGGTAACTTTCTATCTCTTTGTATTTGACTATCAGAGATAAGTCAGTCAGGAGGAAATATACAGGATTACAGATAAGATGACAAAATAGAAACTACTTTAATGTGAGCTGGTAAAAGAAAATAAAAATTAATAGCAATATTCTATTCTTATGAGAAAGAACAAAATAAAAAAAGGGAAATAAGCCTATGTAAGACCTACACAAAGACACAGCCACAAGTTTCTGTTGACACATGACAAGCTTCCCATAAATATTCTCATAATTATGTCCCTTATTTTGGGACATAATCAGTTGTATCATCCAGAATACAACTGGACACAGATGCTAAGAGAACAGCAAGCTAGAGAGAAATTGTCTGGGCTGTGGAGAATTAGCCCGTGGATGGATACAATATCAGCAGAGAGACAGCTGACATTGCACAACGGAGAAAACTGTGGTCTAAATCTGAGATTCTACTCCAGTGCTCTGGATTTCATGTCTCAAGAGGGCATCTCTCCAGCTGCTGCCTGAGCAAGCAACGGGATGGGAATTGGTGAAGTGTTTGCAGCCGAACATGGTGCACGCTCATTCTCGGGTCTAGGTTAGAAGAGACCACCTAGGGAGAGAGGTAAACATAAGCTGGACAAAGCCTTCCATTTCTCCTCAGAGATTCAGTCACCTAAGATGCAGGAATTAAATTGCAACCAACATGCAGTGGCCTGAGACTGGGGAGTTCTGGCAGGAAACGAATCTCCATACAGAATTCTCTCTCATTATGAAGGACATACTGACGTAGCCTGACTGAGGCACTGAGGCAAACAGCCCTCCCCCTACCTGCAGAAACTTCTACAAAAGACAATCTGGAGAGAGGAAGATGCCACATCTTCTCCAACCAGGAAGAAATACTAAGTGAGGTTATTCTATTTTCTATTCCATTTTATTTCTTCTCTATTCTTTTCACCTTTTTATTTACATTTTCTTATTTTTATTGAATTATATATTTTAAAATAGTTAAAATGGACACAAGAGAAGGAAAGTAATCATTTGTCTTCCGACTATGAACCCTGATATCGTTTGATATTTAAGTTTTTTTTTTTTTTGGTTTTTCGAGACAGGGTTTCTCTGTGTAGCTTTGCGCCTTTCCTGGAACTTACTTTGTAGTCCAGGCTGGCCTCGAACTCACAGAGATCCGCCTGGCTCTGCCTCCCGAGTGCTGGGATTAAAGGCGTGCGCCACCACCGCCCGGCTGATATTTAAGTTTTGATTTGTGTCTCCTGAATGGATTTTTACCAGTGCCCTTTATTTCTCTGTATCTATCTGCAACATGTTCTCTGTTATTTCTTCTGCATTTAACATAGGTTCTTTCCCTCTTATTCACATTTTACGCTATTTACATTATTATCCTACTATTTAGTTATTAATATAAATCTCACCAAAAATATAAAATATATTTTTTTCAGTCCAATTAATGTTGCCCATATATGTATGGGTGTGTGACTGTCCACTCGAACATGGGAAACACACCAGTGACTACATCCTCAAGAAAGGATAATTCTTTCCTCCTCCAGAAGCTATCATGTGACAATAGCTCTTCAGTAAGGGATGGGGCTTGGGGAGAATCTACATCATCTGTGCCAAAACTTTGCCTGGCTTAACCTTGTGCAGGCCTTGCACAGATGACCACAGTTCTGATGAATTCATGAAGGCAATAGTCATTTCGTGTTCTGAAAACAGCATCCCACAGCACTGTCATATTCTTTATGCCTTCAATAAACTTTTTAATAAACAGCTACATGAACATTAAAAAAATCAGTGAGATACTGAATAACTTAATGATGTCACTATAGAAGTCCTGGAAAACAAGAGTAAGTGAAGTCTCAATGCAGTGGATGGTAAATTAAAAGGTTAGAGCACATTCCTTCCATCCCTGTACCCTCCCCTTTCCCATTCTCCTCTTTTGCTTCACTAGACAGTTTTACTCCCATTTTTATGTCGCACACACACACATGTAATTTAGAGAAAACATACATGTTTGTATATGGTGTTTAGAATAATTCCAAGTTCATTCTTTGCATATAGGTATGCAATTTTTCTTTTTGGTTTTTAAAGAAATTCTTTCTCCATTGTGCAGGATTGGTCCCCTTGCCAAATAATTTGACATATATATGAAGGTTTATTTTGATTTATTTCTATCTCATGTTGATTTAAAGATTGATTTTATCTATTCTTGAAAAATAAATTATTGAGACTTTGAATAAAAAATGACTATTTATGTAAGGTATAATCTGGCCAATAGGAGTTAATCATTTTAACTTACATTTTTGTTAGTGCCAGGCCATGGTCTTTCTAGTCATCTCTGTTTGGAATGGATGTTTCCCAGTTCTTGACATTTTATTAAACTGCTAAAGAAGTTGCATATAATAGCAAAGTAACAAAGGACTTTGTCAAAAGCAAAGTAAAAGCCCAGAGAGGAACAGTGGGTACTTGGTCGATTCTTAGAGCTTCCCTTTGTGGATCCAGGAGGAAGAGGAGTTGATTACAAGGGTGAGCTGTGGGTGGTTTTCCATTTTGATGTTTAGGTGTGGGTTGTAGAAGCCTTAGTCCTCTGTACCTGTACCTTCTCACGATACATCTGATTTTAGTCATATGCATACCTAATTGTGAAAAATGGGATTTCATTAAACATTTACTCAGAGAACACAGTCTTTCTTATGTACCCCACATCAATTCAGGCTGGATTAGCATGGTATCTATGGTTTGAGTATGTGTTCTACAGTGCGTTTGGGCACAAAGTGGGGTTACTAAGGAGCTAGTAGAACAGTACGACCAGTTGCTTCATTTGGAGAGCAATGCGTTTACAGCTTAATTCTGGCGGGGATCCTGGGTTGCTAAAGCATTTAGTGATGAAGGGGATGTGTTTAGCTCAAGCTAAGTGGAATACCAGATTGCTAAGCCATCTCTGCCACCTACCTGCCTCAATGAGATTCCTCTTGTGTCAACAAAAGATAGTAACCCGTACAATTCTGTCCATCCAAAGACTGAAATAAAGATTTTATGCAAAACACAAAATATATGCTTGTATGAAAGCATTCATACCATGTGCAATGAATATACACAATGAATATTTAAAATTAAAATTAAATTAAAAAAGATTTCAGCTCATGGAAGTTTTCCCTTCAACTGTTAATCTACTAATAAAAATTTCCACTGGGCGGTGGTGGCACATGCCTTTAATCCCAGCACTTGGGAGGCAGAGGCAGGCAGATCTCTATGAGTTTGCGGCCAGCCTGAGCTACAGAGTGAGTTCCAGGAAAGGTGCAAAGCTACACAGAGAAACCTTGTCTCAAAAAACCAAAAAAAAAAAAAAAATCCTACTCTGGGTGTAGTCATAGAATTTTGAGTGGTGAAAGAACTTCTGACTAAGCTTTGAAATTGTTTTGTTCCCAGATTCTTCCATTTGTGGCCAAATGAAAAGAAGAAATGAGGCTGGCGAGGTGGCTCAGCAGGTAAAGGTGCTTGCTAATCATTCCAGACTACTTGAATTTGATCCCTGGGGACCAGAGTGGAAGGAGATTTCCATCCTGAAAGTTGTCTTCTGACCTTACTTAACATGTACCCTCCAACCCTAGGAATAAATGAATGTTCTCATAGCCTGCCACCCACCCTAAAAGGTATCGAGTCTGTTTTTATATTGTACAGTGTGCCTCCTTTCATCCTGAAAGCTGGTATGTCTTTTCTTTCAATACACTAAACTGAATTTTCAGGAAATCAGTAAAAGAAACCTAACACATAAAACCAACTGGGGAGATGGCAGAGCACTACCTAGCAACATGAAGGAGCCGACCACTTAGTCTCCCACTCTGGGTGTCTTTTCCTTATTTCTCCTGCTCTTTTCTAGGTTCATAATCTTGAATTCATTTCTGAATACATTTTATGAACTGTTATAATGAAGAATCATCTCAGTAAGTATGCCACTGCTTAATTTATTTATTTAAAACATAAATTATTCCAGTTTTCCAGTATTTTTCCCTCTGGTCTGGTCTAAGAGGAACTTCATAGTTTCTTGTTATTTCAAACAACTTTACCTTTTATGTTAGTTCACATTACTTACATTTTTCATGTGCTAGACCTGTCTTCTGTTTACAATATAGGCTTAAGGTATGTGAGCAAGGGCCCCGAAGACCTCAAGTCTCTTTAAATTTATTGCTCTGAAGTGTTACTATTTAGGTGTCTCCTAGAATAATGAACTTTAATGGAAAATGAATACTGTCAGTATTAGTGAAATGTGGCTTTAAATGCCACCCCTCTTGAAATGGTCACAGTGTAGTTAACAGTTTTTGCCAGCAAGAAGACACTAGGAAAGCTCACTTCTTACTGAGCATCTAACCTAAATTGTGGTGCATGTGAACTCATAGTATGTGGCTATTCTTGGTTATTGGAGTCTCTGATTAGAACAGTACAATTCAGAGTGCTCTTTGAGAATTCTTCTTACTGATTTCCAGAGTGGCTGGACCAGTTGCACCTGTAGACACATGGCATTCACTTATACAGATACATATGTATACACATAAATAAAAATAAAAAGACTAGGATAAACAGCAGTGATTTAAAATTAGAGTGTACAACAAGATTAATAGTCAAACAAGCAGTGGTTGTTTTCAACTAAATTGGGTATCCCCACTGGAGCATGGATGTTTATTCATCCCTTTTATCAATTATTTCATTTCACAGGAGATGGTCAATAAGGAGAATGAATTAGGTTGGATATGGCTTTACAGGCATGTAATCTCAGTCCTTGGATCCTAGCCCAAAGAGGCAAGAATGCAAGTTTCAGGACTGCTTAGGCTATATAGTGAGACTCATCTCAAAAGATAAATCAGTAAGTGATATAATGATTAAATTTGTAATAGAGTAGGCAAAACAATTTCATTTGACAAAGACAATTGCCGCCATAAAATACAAAGAAATTACACAATATCATATAGTAAACAAAACATGTTTCACAAGATTTAGAATAAAAGCTCAATGTAAAAAATGATCTGTTTCTATATAAAGATGAACAGTAAATACCAAAATGCTATTTCCATTAGATTGAGAAAATGCAAAATATATTAAAGTTTGATAGAAAGGCACCATGCAGAGTCAACCTTGAGTAAAACCATTAAACACAGGTTTCCTACTGATTAGACACCAGTTTTATCCTCTTCTATTCAACTGAAATTTCTTTACTACCCTGTGTTGGAAAGTGCTGTAGTCTCCTTTAAACAATTAATGATTGTGAAAATTACAGCTTGTTCTTCTATTCCCTTAGTGGCACCAAATGGTACTCTGCATATCATTAATATACTATGCAAATGATGTATTTGGCTCCTGTTCCTCAGTTTAGGGTAACCTTGTCAGTCAGCATGCTGGCAGTAATGAGCTGTGTGATGAAAGCTAGCCCAGCTGTTGTGAAGGTCACAGAAATTCTCCACCTCCGCTTTTTGGCTTAAGTCTATATCACAAATTTGATGGAAAAGGAAACAGCTTTGATTAACGTTTTTCTGAAGTCACCTGAGTGTTACCCAAGGCCTTGTAGAGGTCTTACTGGAATATTTTTTTCAAACAAAGAGCACCCATACTTTTCAAATGACTTTACTCCTTGACCACTTACTTGTATATCATGCTGATTCAGTTTCCGAATGATGCTGAGGCAGGGATGAGGAGGCATGGTAGATCATACAGTTTGGCATAACTTCAGCTACCTAAGTTTTAGAAACTATTTTGCTATCATATGGAATACTTCTGGATGATAAATTTTTTTCTTTGTAATGATTTTCTGTTAATATCCCTATGTTCTGAAAAACTTTGAGTTTACTTAAAACTTTCAGTCTATTTGGGAGCCATTTTACTTTTAAATAATAATTTCTAAGGGGAAAACTTCATTCAAATACCTCTGATGAATTCTCAACAGTAAAAGCAAAGACAGAAAAAAAAAGCTATGATGACTCCAAATGATTATCTGTAACTTGTAAGGAAACTTCTGTCCATGAGGTTCATTTATATTATATAGAAAGCTCCTGAAGAGAAAGGGTGTGTAACAGAATTAACAGAATCTTGGGGGTCTGGCATGAAGAAAATACTCCAGTAGTCAAAGAACACAGATTGAAGAAGACCCAGCCTTGGCATGCGCACTGTGTGTTTTCATCTGGGCATCTAAGATCTAAGAAGTTCCATCTAAATTGTGGGCTTGGGCTCACAGTGCTCCACCCCGAGTGCCTGTCCGGCTGAACTGACGAGGCCATGCAATATGGATCTCAATGGATGTGTTTGATGGTGTTCAGGAATCTTTAGAGATACTGGTAACTAGCTGAAAAGTAAAACTTACCCAAACTAAGTGCTATGTGTGTTTGGACTCAGAGGAGTAAAATATTCCAAATACTCATAAAATAAACTTCTCTGTGTCTAAGCTATTTCCCTTATCTACTGCAAGAGGAATTCTGTTTTCAGATTGCTGGCTTTTGTTAACATCACTGTTATCTTATGACATTTGCAACAGTAAATAAAAAGTTCCGTGCAGAGTTTACAAAAACTGTGTCCCAAACTTAATGCTTTCTCTCATATGTGTGTGTGTGTGTGTGTGTGTGTGTGTGTGTGTGTGTGTGCATGTGTGTGTATGCATGTATGAAAATATATAAATAGTAGGAAAGTTAGTCCTACCTTGATGACTACAGTGGTTCCTTAATTCCTAGCACTTCCTGAAAGTATACATATCATTTTTACCCTTCCTGCTGCTTGCTAATTATCTAATGTATTTTTTTAAAAATCTTGACAATGCCTTCTTCCACAGTATAAACCCTGCCATGAAAGGACATTGAACTCTGCTTAGGTTTCAAGATCTACCATTTACATCTATCTTCACATTCTTGCTTCCAGGAGGATTTATTTTAACAACCATCAGTTCCCAGAATCTCTCTCTAACCCCATCCTCACTGATTACTAGCCTTTGCTCTCCAGGCTACCTGGGAAGGACTATCTCTCTGCTCCTCCACTTGAGTTATGAGAAACCCTGTTTCAAGACTCTGGTTCCCAGTCACCTAGTTTTTATTTTCTACTTCATACTTTCTGACTATTTCAAATAATTATTTTGCCCTGAAAATTTGATATTAGGAGCAAAAGAACAAATCACTATAATCTATATTGATGATACTCCATAAACTGGTGATCTATGCGTGCCTTTCTTCTGTTTCTATACTGTTATTCTGAAGATGTAAAAGATATGTATATATCTGTCTTATCCTTCAAACTTGCATCATTATTCAAGACAGTATCATTCTGAATTTTATATTTATTTTTATAACTAAACATTTTCTTTAAGATTATGTTTATCTATTTTAGTTATTTTTAGCTTAATAAAGAGTGCTTGGGTTATATGTAATTTTTGTTATTTTGTGTGTACATGTGTGCTGGTGTGTATGCACATGTATGCGTGTACCTATGGAGGCCAGAGAACAACCTCAGATGTTGTTCCTCAGATGCTATCCATCTTTTTTATTTTTGAAAGTGGGGACTGGTATCAGGTCCTTATGCTTTCATGCTCTCAAGGCAAGCATTTTAACAACTGAGCAAGACAAGTACCTTAATAACTGAGTAATCCCCTGAGTCCTGGTACTAATTTTTCTTTCTTTTTTTCTGAATGTTTACATTTTTTTGGTTGAACCCATTCATGCATGCGAAACACATAGATATGGACAGACTATATTTCGATTGCAAATTTTATTTGTTAGCAGAACGTGATTGCAAGAAATACTAAATTAAAATCTACAGTTTGGTTAGAAATTTAAGTTACAGATAAGTTATAGTTATAGCACTGTTTCTAACTATATTACAATGTTTGAGAAAAACTTGTCTAAAATTTATAATCTATTACCAAATTTGAACCACTCTGTTCTGCTCTGATCATTTGAACTATTGTATAATGTCTTAATGCTTATTTGTTTGCTTTCCTAGATGGTCAACATTTGGATTATTTCCGAGCTTTTCAATTTGAAAGCACCATGTTATGACCAGTTCTGTACTTGTCTCTTAATTTTCATGTGAAAGAATTTCTTGGCTATAAAGATAAAAGTGGAATTGTAGTATAATTGCATATGCAAATGTCTAAATTCAATAGATAATGTAAAGATATTTTATAAAGTAGTTGCTAGTGTAACAAGAGCCTCAGTGGTCTGTATACATCAATTTATTAAGGGCTTCTATGGAGGAAAACAGACTCACTGATACAGGATATGGTAAATCCAGTTGCAGAGTCCTTAGAAAGCTGGGGACTGATCACACGCTGCTTCATGCCACCTGATCCAGTCTTCACTGCCCAAGAGAGCTCAACTTCCTTTCTCTTTCCTTTTCAGTGGTCACATAGGCAGATAAGAAGTACTGCCTCTAACAGGCCAGACAGCCCAAGGTCATGGGTGGAGTAAATTTCCACTACATGCTAGTTTCTGTTGCCAGGAACTATTGATAGAATGATCTATGAGAATAGCTATACATTCTTAGAGGTCATTTTATTGATAATTTCATTTACTAGAATAATTGTGGTAGATTTCCTCCTGGGTCCCATGACCTCAGATTCTTGGCCTCATTAACAGTATCATGTTTGGGTTCCATCTCGTGGAATGAGTATTAGATCCAATCAAAAAGTAGTTGGTTATGCCCATAACATTTGTGCTACTACTGCATCAGTAGGCAGATCTTGCTTGCATATTAGTATTATAGTCCACAGGTTCATAGCTGGGTGAGACTGATTTTTACTTTTTCAGTAGGGTCTAGGGTACCTTCCAACACTATGAATTCTAGTCAGTAGGAGTGAAGCTTCTAATTGAACACCAGCTATTTCTCCAATTTTGGTGATATAAAGCATGTGGTATTTTCAACACTAAAACCTTTCTATGGCTGGTGGCAGGTAACCAACAGCATTGGCAACAGCTTGTAATACTTTGGTGGTTGATCTGTAAAACTCTTTTCATCAATGACTGAAAAAGATGTTTAACAGTTCTAGTAATGGGGGTTTTATTTGGAGCATATGACATCTAGTAGGGCTATTGTCTCTCCCATTACTGGTAACTACTTTTAAATTTCATTTATATATGTCCATATTGTAGAAAGCTTCCATAGTAGTAGGTTTCTATGTAAACTTTCAAAAGGCCTTTAGTATTAGTTATCCCTCCCCTCCCTTCCAGTGTGTAAATTTGCTACATTTTCATCATCCATTAATCAACCAATGGACATCTAGCCTGCTCAAACTAGACACAATGCCAGGAAGCAGAAGGAGAAGTGGGCACAAAGTTCTTCTCCTAACCAAGAAGTTATTTACAACTGATGACTGCTAGAAGGGGAAAATCAGTTTTCTTCAAAGTAATGACCCTGTGGAGCAGCAATCACACCCAGGGAGGGCCACATGCTTAGGAACAACTGGCTAGTGGAAAATCAATTTCATATTTTGGTTTTGTTGTACTTTTTTGGTTTTGTTTTGTGATAGTTTCATGGTTTTTTTTTTTTTTTAAGAAAGAAATACTATGCAGTTGGGTTGGTAGGGAGGGGTGATCTGGAAGGATATATTACAAAGAATATAACCAAAGTATATCATATGGAAAAATTTTTAAATAAATATAAAAAGGAAAAAAGAACTCAGATGCAAATTGCAGCTTACAAATCCAGCTTTTCAAGATGATGTGATCATCATTGCTTTCTAATTTTAGAATATTTTCAGTACTACAAAAAGAAACCCTATTAGCTGTTTACTATGTTCTATTTTATATATTACTAATATAATTACTAATATTACTCTATTACTCCCCATTCTTTTTTCTCGACTCCTCCTAACTTGTAAGATTCCTTTTACACTAGGAGTGTTCTGTTTTTAGATATTTCACGTTATTGAAATAATGTGCCTTTTTGTGTGTGTAGTTTATTTTATATAAGTGTCTTCGAGGTTTATTCATGTAACATGTATTAGATTTCTGATTTCATAGCTGAATAATATTCTGTTACATGGAAAAATATACTTGCTGAAGCTGAGAAGGTAGTTTACTTAGAAAAGTGTGTGCTATGCAAACCTAAGCACTTGAAGTCAATATCTAGAAGCTACATTAAAAAAGTGTGGTGAGACAGTGCACGTCTGTAATACAAATGTTGGAAAGTGGAGATGAGAGGATTCCTGGCACTCTCTGTCCTGTCAGGCTAACCTGGATCTCAGTGAGGGACCCTGACTAAAAAAAAAAAAATAGTTGTAGATGATTCAGGAAGGCCCCGAGTTTATTATATGGTCTTTGCACATGTACACAGACTCACAAACTTGTGAATATTTCACACATGCACATACACATGCACCCCCAATACACAGAAAATCCTTGGGGTTGATTTTCCTCATAAATAACATTGTCATTTTCCCTGAATCTCCTATTGCCTCATGCTTTATTTTGGTAGTAATTTTCCTTTTTCTGAATTTCCCCAAACATAATATTTTTATTAATTATTTGGGAATTTCATACATTGCTTCCCATTCCTCCCAGGTCCACCCTACAACCCTTGTGCTCTTCCCCCCCCAAAAGAAACAAACCAAAACAAACAAAACACCAATTCCATTTGTGTTGCCCATATACTCATTGGAACATGGTTAGACTCCCAGTGGCCAGCCCCTTAAAGATAACTGAGTCATTCCCCACCCCACCACCAGAAGTTATCAACTGTTGAGAACTACACTTCAGCATCTTTATCACAGTTTTCAAGAACTCTCCTCAATAGCTTTCTGTCTGGACTGTTTCTTTTGGGGTGGATGGGGGATATTGTCACAGAAGTCTTCAATGTCTCTCAATCTCAATTATGAGTCTGTAGTCATTGATACCACTATACAAGAAGCTTCCTTGCCCATAACAGCTAATGTCAGTATGGATCATGGACTTACACCTGGTTTCTAGAAGCAACATGGACCACAGACAATCACACGACTTCTGCTGGGATCACTTCATTTGCTCTATAAATGCTTCATCTTCTTTGACGGTCAATTCAAGTAGTTTTTTTTTTCTTTTTATGTTACCTGGAATTTTATGATAACATTTTTGAGAGTTAGCTACTATGAATGACTTACTTATTCATGTACAATTGCCTTTCAGTTGCTTATATTGTGAATATAATCTCTCATCTTGACAACTGTCTTTAAATCCTTTGAACATGTCTTTGGTGCAACAAAATGTATAGTTTTAACATAATTAAACATATTAACATTTTCTTTTATCCTCAATAGTTTCACATCTTAAGAAATCTTTATAGTTCAGAAAGTCCTTTCTTACACCTATATCTTTTTAGGATGCTGCCTATATTTTCTTATAGCAGTTTTAATGTTTCAGGTTTCAAAATGAGGTCTTTGATCTACTTGGGTTTGATTATTATGAAGGGTGATATATATGGATCTAATTTCATTCTTCTGCATGGGGACATCTCGGTTTCCTGATAGCATTTTTGAAGATGCTATCTTTTCTCTAATGTATTTTT